AAGAGGTTCATTTAACACATTTTAAACATTTTATAGATAATTGAAATGTTTACTTAAGTATAAGTCTATTTCATGACCCTGGGACTTGTTCTTCTATAAAATGGTCTCAAATTCCTGAAACATAATTAAGTTTTGATTTTGAAATGTTTTAACAGGTTAGAGTAATATGTACACAAAAAGAATTCGAAAAATTAACACATATATCGATGTTTTACATTAAAAAGAGAGACGCCTTTCTAAAGCAGTGCCAGATGGAGTAGGTTCGAGGTCACTAATTCGATTGCGAGGTTCCATGTTGCAGTGCGAAGATCTCTCAACGGTTTTTTTTTTTTTGGTCAGGATTAGTTATTCTGAATTTGCAGCCTTCCATGGCCAACTGGTATTGTATGACTGGAACATGGAACTTAAATCTTAAAAAAATAAATAATAATAAAATGATACAATAATAATTAGCAAAAAAACAAAGAAATTAAAAGAAATTGTGAAATGTCATGATAAATAACTATGACTTAAGTTAAATTTTTGCCTTTAGAATTTTACAAGAAACTACTTTTTTATGTTTTACAATTATTCATAGCAAGTAGTTATCTATTTTATTATTCATTTATCTGTTTTTCAAATGATATCAAATTATGCAAAATTGTCATGCATGCGATAGCAATCAATTGCTTATTTACAATTCATTGTCAAAAAGTATTGCTTTACTGAATTTGTGAGAAGGTTTCCATATCATTTCCGACAATTTCCTATTTTATGTGAAATAAAAATCATTTGATACAATTAATATTTATGAGATTTTTATTTTTTTCTATTGTTTTAGCATTGTAATTACATCACCATACAGCTGCAAACCATAGTTATACAAAAAATTGAAACATGGTATCCTTTTGAAATTGTTAAACTGATCACATTTATAGTACAATTGATATCGTAAAGATTGAAGTGTCGCGTAAAATAAGATTGTTTAGAAAGTTGAAATTTCAGTGAGAAAAACTTGAAACGGTGGTAATAAAACTTGAGACTGAAGTTTTCATTTTGTCATTTGTTTTTTGCTTCATGTTGTGAGCAGTGGTAGGCCTCACTAAATGCAGAGTCACTTGATATATACCAAAGACTTTGTGTGAGCGAAACATGCAGTTATGGTTAGTCCCGTGTAAACTTACTATACCCATACTCCTATTTCTCTCTCTTAAATATTTTTTAAATATATAATATCAATTTTTTATTGTATTTTTCTTCCTCTTGGTCTTGAATCTAAACTTTTTTCTGTAAATATTTTGTTTCTCATATTCAATCAATGTATAATAGTTTCCATAACTTTACTAAATTCCAGCCTTCTCCAAAACCTCTGATTTTTCTTTTCATTAAGGATGATTTGTAGTTTCACAAAATGGTAATTTATTTGAATTACCAAGAACAAGACAAATAAACACTTGTATCTCTTGATAGAGGATATGGAATGGAAGTACTGCATACTGCAACCATTTAGGAAAAAAACGGAAATCCAAGTGGAGCAGACTGACAGATGAACAGCAGACAAACAGACAAACAAAGAAGAAAATAAATCGATCGTCAGTGACAAATAATTTGAAATTCTTTTAATTAAAGTCAGACTCTTTGTGGCTCTTTGTTATTCTTTCAATCTCAAATTTTAAGAAATATGAGATAATTTGGTTCTGTGTGATTTTTAGAAAATTTAAATTGAAAACACGAGATAATCAAAAATATTTGGGATTAATAATCCCATATCATTTTTATTGACATATATATACAAACAATGGGAAAATCCTGAATCTTAGTTTAACAGGTGTGATAATATAAGTGTTGAAGTCATTTGATTAGAACAGGATGACAATATTGAAATGATCTGGATAGAAATTCAAAACTTATGATAGATACCATTGTGTCCTTTTGATGTTGTATAAACATCTTATTATAGCAGATGCTGTATAATTTATGAAAAGATAATAGGAGACCTGAAGAGTTCCATGTTAAGAGGTTTTAATTTCATAAAAACACAAGCTCAAATCAATTAATCATGCTGGGCCGAAAACGAATGTATGTTTTGGTAGATTCAGGTTATTGTTCACCTGTTGGTCAATGAACCCTTAAATTGGACATTTCAAACATATAAAACTTCACTTAATAAAATGAATGGATGAAATTACCTGTTATAATGGCATTTGAGAAAACATCTAACAGTCCCTCGATGAAAGCAGACGGGACTATTAGTATCAAGTCTGTTCGTCTGTATGTCCCTCTCTCTAAGGCTATCTTTCCCATTGGTTTTCCAAACTTTAAAATGGTATGTGAGTCTCTCTTTATAAGTAACAGATCAAGTTTGTGTTTATTTTATGAATTATGTCTCAAACCAGTAAAAGTCTCAGTATTTCACCGGTTTACTTAATGTGCAGTGATCTCAAAATAGCATACGTAAAATTTTCTTCTGATTTTGAAATTAATTAGAGAGTATAGGATGCTTTAGGACTGTTTGATGTATAAATGTTTTACCATGTACATGGTGGGAACAAAATTTTGAATCAAGTAAATATAAAATATTTTCCATGCCAATGCCTAAAGTAACACAGGACTTTTTTCAAAAGTTTCGATTCAGGCGTAAACGTACTGGGCAAATGACAAAGGATCATTCCAATAGAGTTCGGAGTAATATTTAAGCCCAACAATAACGAACATACAACAAAAAATTAATAAAATCAATACCATGGTTTTTTGAGTTTTATAAGCTATAACACGATTTTTGAAATAAAAAAATGCAACATTTTGCAAGATAAGCACTTTTATGATAGTTGAATTAAAAACATCGACATTTTAATGAGATCTATCATTCGATTCAATACTTTTACAAATTGTAAAAACGTTTTTTTCAATTACATTGTTATTTCATTAAAAATATATATATATATATATATCAAGCTGTCATCTTTTGATTTTATCCAATTTGTTAACATAAATAATATTTAAAAACAGGAAAAGAAAAGAAGTCGCTCAACAAAGATTTTGTTACAGAATTACATTTTGAGCTTTGCTTATCATAAATGTTCATTCCCAGAGTTATGGTTCCTAGTGAGTGAAGAACTTGCTTCAGTCTGCTTTGAGAGATGCAGAGATACGATGATAACATGCTCATTCATTTGCATATCATGGTTCGATTATTTGTGTAAGTCAATTTATTGTTTTCTAATATATTACATTACCATTACGAATCAGATGTAAGCTGTTGTTTTCCATTTTTAACAGTCAAAGTAATCCATTCACTTTGTATTTTTCTAGTACTCAGATCGCATTCATTTTTCAGATCTCTAGCTTAAAAACTCATCTACTTCCTGGTTATCAACTTATATAGTACACATACGAATAAATAATTAATCAAACATTGGTTTGTTTTTATTCAACGCAAAAAAGTATTGTTTTAAATTGGATTAAAAATATGTAATTAAATAAGCAAAATATGGAAATTCCTTGTTAGTATTAAAATTCCGTTAAGTTTTGTCTTGCAATTTGTGTGAACTGTAAAATCTTATTAAATTTAATTTCACACTTCAGAGTCATTGTGCATGGTAAACTGATAAGTTGAGACATTCTTCCTTTTTTGTAAACAGACATATAGGTGTAAAAAAAAAAATACTGTTTAGTAATCTTTTCCTTTCAGAATGTACTTTTACTCTTGGAAAGAAGATAGTACAGTACTTGGGAGAAGTTCTACAATAACATCAACATAAAAACTACTAGTACCTATATATGTATCTGAGACATTCACCTAAGTAAGTATTTGAAATTTTATCATGTTCTTAGTTTTGAATTAATTTTTACTATAGTGAGGTGAATGTTGTGAATTTTGCATTTTCCTACCCTTAGTAAATTCGAAATTTACAACATGATAATTAACTGAACACCTTTATCTTCTGGAAAAAATTTACAGACAGTAAATTTGATCGCTTTATTTTCTACAAAAAATTACGAATCTCGTATAGCCATAACATACTTCAACTAATTACAGGCCATATTATTACAATAAACACAATGTCAAAGTGGAATTAATTTTAAACTTTTCATTTAGTTCCCTGGCTTAAAATGTTTATTGTGTAATTTAGACTAGAAGATGGATTTCCCGTTTCTTATTAGAACAAGACTATCAATACATTTCACTCCTCTTGTTTCTTCGTATGAATTCTTACCATGTAATACTGTGTAGAAAGGTGGAGCCCTGCCTTTTACATCAATTTTATGCATCGGAATAACACTGTTTTTATTTGCCTTTCCTTAATACTTTGTAATCTTAATTGCCTTGCTTCATATCTTGAAATCATTATTTCCATGCTTAATATTTTGTAATCATTATTGCAAATGAAAACCTCCTGCAATAATTTACCAGCACATAATGCATTCTGTACATCTGATTCCAAGTATTAACTAATTTTACAACCAAGTGAAATATAAGGTCTGTTCATTTATTGAAAATTTTTGAACAAATTAAAAAAATAAATACACAAATTTACATCGATTGTCACGAAGAAGAGAACTGAATCACTGCTTGTGTGTCACATGATTCATAAAAAATAGTCCATTACTGAATATGGCGTCCACCACATATATTTGGTCATCCATTTTGTATAAGTATTGACGATTATGGGAAAGAAAACTTGCATATAAAATTACAGAGAATCTTCGTATTTAAGTCCAAAAATCATGAACCCAGGATCTTAACACCGGGATAACATACAGACATACACACAGTAAACAGTGTTTACTTATAATTGAAGGTCATATACATGAAGAAAAATATAAAAACACAAGAAATATCAAAACGAAAACAAAATTTAAAAAAAAAATGTGACAATATTCCTAAAGCTTAATAAAAATTTTAAATAATCTTGTAGTTTTCACTATCAATTTTATTTCTCTGTTTGGAAATGTATATGACAATAAAGAGATTTTTTATAAATCTGATATAGATCATAGCAAAAAAAAAAAAAAAACCAAAAAAAACCCCCAGAAAGTTGATCAATTTAATTGGAAATCAAAATTTGTGTATATTTCATTATTTTTGAACGCTGCTGAGCATATTTCCTTTTTAATGAATATATTAAGTTTCCTCTTTTCGTGAAATCTACTAAATATTACATGTTTTTAATACATTTGTAGTTTCTGTAAAAAAAAAATAACGTTTTAATGATATATTTAGGATGCATAACTCAGTAGTATTTCGAAAAAGAAAACCTAAATTTTCTGTAGAATTGTATATGATTCATGGAATTTCACTTTTAGAAAATACCTTTTAATTTAAATAAAGAAAGAATACTGCTCAGGTTATTATATTCCAATTTCCTTGATTGGAATGCTTTTTTTTCAAATTTCATTGGAGAAAAATAATTCTAAGAAAATGAAACTACACCAAATGTTGAAAATACATGTATGTTGTGTTTATCAGGCGTTTTTGGTTATTTTTTGTGTATGTTGTGGAATAAATGCTGCCTTATTTCGTGATTGAATCAACTAAAAATAGGGAAAAAAGTGTATGTTTTTCTTCGATATACATCTTATGTTGACATATTAAATACATTGTAGCTTCAATATATCTTCGTGTTTCAGTTTGAAAAAAAATCCAGACTTATCTTTCACTAGGCGAGAGACATTTGTCTATGAAAGTGTAACCGTCCTACTTTCTTCATTTTTCCTCACATCCTTTTTAACTGCTTATAATGTATAAGCATACTAATATAATAATCATTTAGCTTTAAAAAATCATCGACCTACTTCTAAAAAAAAATTAGCGTATAACAACAAAATATACAATGTCAAAATGAGTGCAAACAAAATGAAATCGCGAGCACAAAAATAGCACTAAATGTCAAAAATGCAGACTAATGGTGGTAAAAATATGCCCTCAATAATTTGGAATGCAGTCACATAGTCCGACCATCACTGAATTGTAATTTTCTTCACAGTGAAGTTAAAAAGGCAAGAGTTATCAGTAGATCCCGAGTATCAAGTAACAAGTGACGAGGCAAAATCTACAAGTTAAACATTCAGGAGACTCAGAAGAACGCCAGATGGCGCGTGGGTCGCTCTCAGACGGGAGGAATGGTATGTGGAAACCTGTGGTGAGAATGGTCGAAGGGTGGGGGACGAAGGTATGAGGGGGCCAAGGGTTCGTTTTTGACGTAAACTCTTGGATGCACTCTGACGTCATCTTGGAGGCGCGCGTCTAACATTTTGGCGGACATGAGATCACTTCCGTAATCATGTGGTATCATCATTTGTCCGTTGTTACACATTTGTTGTGGATGTTGGTGGTGAAGTTGTTGATGGTGGTGTGTTTGGTGGTGTCCAAACGAATGCATCATACTTTCTTCCAACATTTCTTTCCTGTAATAAAAAAAATGAGATACATTCATTCTTGTTTCCATTCTCAATAAATGTTCACAATTTAATTAAAGTTACACTGTTCAAGTGCTTATCACATTCCTTAGAATGTGAGTGCACATTCTTGAATATCATACCTACAGTACTGTATAAATATAAAGGTCATAACATTTTCTAGCTTGATTTTTTAAAAATTAATATTGAAAAAAAATTGAGATTTTTTAACAATAAAATCTATGAATTTTATCTTTTAAAAAAAATGCTTAAGGAACATGCATATGTGTGCCAGTATAAGGTTTGTCGATTAATAGATAAAAATTAGTTTTTAAAAAAAAAGGTAAAAGATTTGACTTAAATTTTATATACTTGTTTACGAGCCAAAAGCACTAACTCTCAATTTTTAAATCACAAATTATTGATAAAATAATGGAAATAAAGCAGAGACCTGTAAATATGATTAATATCTTGCCTAATCTCCTACAGTACAAAACATGTGTGGGCGACTATCAGTAAATTATAATAGTAAACATAAAAACTGTGTTGAAATATATTTTATAAGCTATGAAAATCTGTTATTTCCAGCCAAGAAGCCTACGTTCAAATCCTTCTACATGGCATAATTTTTAAGTCTAAAAGAACAATGTTTTTTAATTTCCAAAAACTGGTTTTCCTTCTAGAATTTCAAATAATTTTATACGTTGTTCAAGAGACATTATCGCTAATTATTTGTTTTACAATCAACTCTTTCAACAAGATGAACTTTTAGATATTGCTAGGTTTATTATATGAACCAGAACGGATGTTGTTTAACTGGATCTTTTGTTAAGTAGAAAAGTACGATGGGCCGTGATCATTAAGGCCTTGGTTTTCAAAGGCCTCTTCCTCATTCTTGAGGTTCATTTAATAATGACCGTCTTCGGGACAAGGTCACACTCCCCCGCTGGCTTTATAACAGCAAAACATCCACTACCAACCCTAATTTCTGAAGTACTCTAATAGTAACTACAAGATTTTCCCACCCTCATTAGCCTTGAAAGACCGGAAACAGTTTTCAAGGTTTTCATTGCGCATGATCATTGGATGACAATGCTTGCGCTTCGTTATAAGTAGTCACGTAATCCTCTTCAAAATGCATGCTAATTGTTCTTGTTAACAAACAAAATGCACATTGTACAATTTTAATCTGGCGACAGACATATATTTTCCTGTTGTTCAAAGTAAAACAAAAAACATCATGGGAACGGATTCATCGTCAGAGGCGTAGTCACAAACTTAAAAGTGGGGGGGCTCAAGTCCAGAAATTCTTTGACAAGCAAAAAAAAAAAAAAAAAAAAACTTAAAAAAAGTGGGAGGGCTCAAGTCCAGAAAGTCTTTGACAAGCAAAAAAAAAAAAAAACTTAAAAAAAGTGGGGGGCTCAAGTCCAGAAAATCTTTGACAAGCAAAAAAAAAAAAAAAAAAAAAAAAAAAAAAAACACAAATACAAATTAAAGTTCCCCAAACTCGAAAATCCTATTTCGCCAACTTTTTTTTCAAAGACAAATTATTTTCAATTTCATTTTTTATATACAACTAATTGCTATTCTTTCATATATCTGTGATTTTGTTCTTCATTAAAAAGTGGGGGGGCACAGACATACTCTTGCCCCCCCAGATCTGAAAGTGGGGGGGCTAGTGCCCCCGCTGCCCCCCCTGTGACTACGCCTATGATCGTGATATTTTATGATTGAAATTAAAGAAATTCGTTACAAGAATTGAAAAAAAAATCCAGATCATGCAAATAAATTCGTTTTATAAATTATTACACAAGAACTATTGCTCTCATGTACGACATAATTTCCAATGAAAGACCATAATCAAAGTAAATATATATTCATAATCGGCGTTCATTTTTCCTAATGATATCATGTACGCCAAATTAAATGTGCTTGTTCTTTTTATCCAAATAATCTCAAGTTTCGACAAAAACTGAAATCAATCGATTATTTAACACGGATAACAGGTGTTTTTCCTTGAAGTGAAGACCGACTTTTGCTATTGTGTGATCATCATCGACACATGGACAACCTAGGGTATGTTAGCAGTTTAGAAATTGAGGGGATAGCCTCGTCTCAACATGCCGAATATCTAAGCATCTAGATCTGATCTTTAATTTACGGGGAAAACCAGCTACTCACAGTACTCGTTTATATACCCGTACATCTTGCAAATGGGAGGCTCGGTTGTATTAATATGATCTTGTACTTTTTCCCAAGTATGAAAAAAGCAAAAAGACTGAAGCTCTGTTCCAACGAATTTCGATTCCTGTTTGTTTTATTTTGCAGCTGTCGAATGTAATTATCCATACTAGGAATAATGAAGAACAAGCAAAGTGAGATGGAGATGAAACTCTATAAATTTTCATAAATATAATTCTACATGAAGGCTTTTCTTTTGTATTGTAATACTTAAATTTCAATACTGTATTACTTACAATTAGAGAGACTGATTACAATTTGTCCTGATAAAGAATCATGTAGAGTCATTAGAATAAATTGAGGATTCGACATTCTTTTTCTCAAATCCATCTTGCAATCCATTTTGTTTATTCGACTAAAATGATTTAACTTTAAACAGGGCAAACAAAATATTAACATGCATCGTGTTTTCTTCATACCATACTTGTTATTGTTTACATCTCTACCAAAAAAAACAATGTATTTTAATTCATGACCACTACTTGGCTTAATTTTGTCCAGAAGATTTTAAAAATATCACTGTCTGAATGTGTGATTATACACTATAAAAGATACCAAAGTTATATGATTTTGCTTCAGCTTTTTTCATCATTTGATAGAGCTCTGCAAACAAAGTAGAACTAAAACTCTTTCGTGGTAACTTTTTCATGCTTCAAATGTTTAACTCTTTCTCTCATTACTTTTACAAGTCTTCAGTATCACCTGTGATGTAAGAAGATGTATGTGTCAGTAATCTGGCAACACTTTGTCTGTAGACGTGTTTGTCTCGTTTTTTGCCATGATGTCGAAGTGTGATATTAGACCGTCAAATATCAATAATTGTTCAAGTTCTTCTTTCCAGGCGTTACGGACAAGCTTATGTCAGTCTATTTTGATTATTTTTCTCTTAAAACAAGCACCCATGTGTCACAAGAGAAACGTCAGTTAATTCTATAAACGTTCTGTTTTTGACACAAGTAGAAATTTTTTTAATCATTGTGCAATCAAGTCAAGATTCATGACAATCACGTAAAAACCCACATGAGATGGGTAGGATTGTTTAAGAAACTGAATTTGAATAATTGAAACTTTTCATATCCGTTAGTATCAAAGAAAAATAACATGTAGAAAATGTTACGCAAAGATTGACATATTTGAAGGTAAATAACGTAAACAGAAAAAGTCTATAAAAACAATGCGATTGGGAGAGGAGCGAACACGTCATCTAAAAAACATCAGAAGTATGATCAGGTGTCACGGAGGAGTAAGCATCCCTTGTTGGCCTTTTGTGTTCTGTTGTCATGATCAGGAAAACGGGAGAAAATTTGGTAGGCAATTCAGTGTGGAAATAATCGCCTAACAATTTGAATTAACGGCTAAATGATCATAGATTGTTTTACTGACAGGGCCATTATATTGACCAAAGAATTCGCAAAATGCTGATTTAAATCGAAATTTTTGATATCCTTGTTTCATCAACTTGTATGCCAATAGCTTGTCTCGATTTACAAGTTGTTCGTACTTAGAACATGCTCTTGTGCATTGAATTATCTGGGAAACATAAATACTTCATATGCAGGTGACACTGGTATATATTTAACATAAATAAGGGGGGTTGGCGATAGTATAGTTGAAGTAGTCATAATTATCGTAAAGTTTTGTTGTTATGTAACCATTTTAAACATGTTTTTCCAATTAAAATATATATATATATATATATATATATATATATATATATATATATATATATATATATATATATATATATATATATATATATATATATATATATATATATATATATATATATATATATATATATATATATATATATATATATATATATAACACAGATGTGTCAGATTTGAAATTATTTAATATGATCCGAAAGTACTCTGGTGTTTTTTGATTTCGATTTCAAGAGTAAATGAATGCTGTTAATGATAAAAAGTAGTCGATATATCTAAATATTGAATTGAAGGCCACAGTAAAAGACCACTTTTTATTTGTATGTTTAAATCAATTTCTACTCCATAAGAGTATAGAATTTGTATACAAGGGCAAATTAAGTATCCCTGTGGACGCCAACAGATTGTTGGAAAAACTAGAGGTTGTCAATCAGAAACTTAATAATCTTTTTTAACATCAACTCACATCACAGAACTTGTGTGTACAATCAGAATTTTTTTTTTTTTTTTTTTACAAAATAACAATGCAAATAACTAACGTCTAGGTAAGTAAATTACGAGAACCATGTTTCTTTGAATATCAAAAAGTTTACAGCGGAGTATTGTTGCGTACTACCGCGTTGAAAAGTAGTACGTTTTGGTGTTATTTTATTTTAGATAAAAAATTATGATTTCAACTTTTCAAAAAGTTCAATGGACTTTTTAAGGACCCACATCTGATTTACACCACTTGTCAGATATATTTTTATGCAATACTCTAGAAGTTTGTCCCTCACTTCTATCCAGTTTTAGTGAGGAGTAAAGAAAGAGACATTGTATACAGAATATTTACTGGAAACCCGCTCTAATAATCTTATTTATAAGGATTTTATATAGGTAGACATCCACTATACTTATAATGATCCTAATTCATTTTTTTTTTGGTAGGAGCTGAAAGATATTTAAAACTCTTTAGAAAGGGAACTGTGATGTCTGTGAGTATGTTAGATTACATTTCCAAAATTACAGTTAAACTAATGAGCCTAAAAACAAAAAAAATGGTACATGCTTTGTCAAATGGGGCCAGTTCAATATAATAAATATGCAGTATAATAATTTTTT